AACGTTTCCCTGAATTTGAATGAAATTCTCTGAGATTCCGTGAGATTCCCTGATTTTCCAGGTCCAAAAATGAATTCCCTGTTTTCCAGGTTTTGACGTAGGACTACGTCTTTGATTTCAATATGGGGGTACACTTTGTGAAAACCGAAAATTAAACATGTAACAAATTAAGAAAGATTTTGAACGTTAATACCTCAGCTGCCCCTGGTCCAATTTCAATAATTTTATCACCAATCGATCAGAAATATGGCTGCGCATCGATGAAAATGTTTCCAAATGTTTATTTTCAACAAGAAACTATTGAAAAACTGGTAAATGTCCAGCATTGTCCAAAAGCGTCGCATTAGCTAACAAATCCACCAATTACCTACATGCATATGCTGCTTCCCCAGCACAGTCGTCAGAGAGTAGTAAGTAGACGAAACAAGTCGAAGTGACATTCGCCTCCGATCCTCGGGCGCGTGCGAATAGGTAGGATGGAATTGCGTACTATTTTGCACACTCATCGCCATATTCAGAACCAAACGCAAATTCTTCGAGATAACTACCATCGGTCGTCTGGCTCGCCGTGGCGGTGTCAAACGTATCTCCGGTCTGATCTACGAGGTGTGCTGAAGGTGTTCCTGGAAAATGAGGTCCGTGATGCTGTCACCTACACTAAACACGCCAAGCGTAAGCGGCCATGGATGTCCTCTTCAATAAAACGGCCCTTTTCAGGGCCATCAAGCTTACATCAGTAAAGAGTTGGAATAGAATTTACCTGTGCTTGTTTGTCCATATTCAGAACCACAAGCCCCCAACGACCACACAAAATGCTCTCCAGAGTTGTAATCTTGTAACAAAACTTGGAAGCAGGGGTGCAAGTGATTTTGATTGATTCTCTTAATCAACTTTCTCTTTGAAAAAGATTACTACACATTTGGTACGCCTAAATTCAAAAACGGAAAGAGTTGAGATAATAGATAATTGATCAATTAAAAGAGCTAAATGCGCTTCACATTTATTCCGTCCACTGGCGGTCCTACGTCAAGCATCCGTTCGTGCCCCTAGGCACAGACCCTTCTACTTTTTTTCAGGTAGTCGGCACCCTATTTGAGTTTTTAACAATGTTTTAGAATTCGTACTCAAAATTACATCATTGATCAAAACTGTATATTTTTCACTACAACTTTGCCTCAGATTTCATTTCGATCAGAAGTAATATTTTCGTGCTACAATTAATTGAAAAAATGGCAAAGACGCCTTTTAAAAAAAGTACAAGATCCAAAATGGCCGATTTTTTGTAAAATTGTAAATTATTTATACAAAATTTTATGCAACTCCAAAAAGGTCGAGTTTTTCAGATTCGTTATTCGGCGTGGAACTGCTCTAACGAGAAACTTATTGACTGGAAAATGAAATGTTCTATCCGTTTCCCATTCAAACTTCAAAATTCTCCTGCAAATCCAGATCGCAACCAAACCAACTTTCTGTTTGTGTAAATTGCTGCTACAACAGAAGTCCTTCAAACTTTCACTGTTACTCTACTAGGCTCCTAAAACAAAAGCGAATGAGGTGGGGCATCAAGATTTGAGACCATAACACAGATCAAGAACAACGGTGGATACATCCATGTTTTTGTTTCTCCGGTTCAAAGTCCAACATATAAATTTAAATCGGACAGCGGTCATAAATTCCTGTATAAAGGGTGTATTCGATAAAAATGACACACCGATAATCTTCTGTAACTTTTGAACCGTATGAGTAAAAAACCTGAAAATTTGTGCATAGTGTATTGTTTACATATGTAAAGGTTCATAGTTATGCATTCAGTAGTTCCAGCCATGTCATCGAAACAAGAAATTGGCCGTGAACAAATTTTGTGCTCTTACAATCACAATCCAGAGACGTCCAATCCATCGGTGGGAATTGCAAATACAACTGTGTCTCGTGTGATAAGAACCTTCAATGAGCGTCTGAGTGCCCGAAGGAAGGAAGGAAGTGGTTGTAAAAGTGGTCCAATGGATAGTAAAATAGCCAGGAAAGTGGTGCAACAGTTTGAGAACCGTCCAAACATGTCAATTCGAGATGTCGCTAACAACTCCAAGGTGTCTGTTGGTTTTGTGCAGAAAACCATGAAGTGTGCTAGGTTAAATGTTTACAAGGTGCAAAAAAGAAACTTTACACGAAGTTCCTCGCCAAATCGTGTTGCATCATGATGGATGACGAAATTTACGTTAAGGTCAACTTCCGTCATCTTCCTGGGCAATAATATTTCGTTGCCAAATCTAAGTTCGATGTTCCGGAGGATGTTCGAAAAAAGAAATTATCGAAATTGTCAAAGAAGTTCCTGATCTGGCAGGTGATTTGCGGATGTGGTGAAATAAGCGCTCTCTTCATCACTTCCGGAACAATTAACGGTGCGATTTACACAAGAAGAGTGCGTCTCTTGCCAAGAAAGAAAGAATGGCCTTATTTATGCAATAAGAAAGCACAAAGGATGAACTCTGTTTTGGCCTGTTCTAGCGTCTTGTCACTTTGCTCGAAACGTGTTGGAATGGTACCGAGCCAACGGAGTCAATTTTGTGCCAAAAGATATGAACCCACCAAATTCACAGGAACTTCCCCCAATTGAAAAATTCTGGGTAATTATGAGGACACAACTTTGCAAACAGAGCTGGAGTTGAAGAAAATTTGGTGTTTTTAACAAAAACACTGGGAAAATCGATTGTACAAAATTTGAAGGATGGAGTGAAAAGAAAGGTGCGGGCATTTGGAATGGGGGACGAAATTGAAAAAAAAACAAATTTTGTATATCATAATTCATTAGTAGGATATCATTTCTTTAAGATTTCAAGAAAATCAGATAATCAGTTTAATTTTGGTGAGTAAACATGTGTGTGCAATTTTTATCGAATACACCCTTTACCATTGCAGTGTATACACAGCAAAAAATAAATTTCAATATAACATCATTTTAATAAAACAGCAAAAAGGGTTATCTTCCATTTAATTCCACTTAATTTTGGTATCCATGACAGATACGTATTTCGACGAAATACGTATCTGTCATGGATACCAAAATTAAGTGGAATTAAATGGAAGATAACCCTTTTTGCTGTTTTATTTAGCATTCCGCTAACAACCCAATTTCATTACTTCATCATTTTAATATCAATCATGATAAAAATCTCATGTAATTTTAATGGCCACAAAAAAAAACAAATGCAGTAAAAGCAGCGTAATGTCAGTTCATGCACTGTATTCATGATAATTCTGTCCTTTTTGGCAAGTAATAGTGGAAATAGATGTAATGTCGGCCTAAATGCCCCTAATTTGGGCCCATACATAAATTCAGCAATCGACTAAATTTTCAGTAGCGACCAAAAATATCCATTAGTACCGTCCCAATGACGCGTTTAGCTAGATAACAGCAGATTTTTAGCGATGGGCCCAATCTTAGATCCATAGGCCAACATTAGTGCCATTTCCCCTATTACACCAAATTTTTGACACGGTTGAAGTGCATCCACTTTGATGTGATATCAAAATTATTTTTTTGCTGTGTATCAGACCCTTGGCGCCGACATCCTATTTCCCATATCCATTGTCATGCTGATATTTTATAAGAACCAGCTGGGTCCAGTTGATTTTAATACTTTATGATATCAAAAACATCAAGAAACGAGTTTCGTTCGCATGCAGCAATAACAGACACGCCTAATCTGACGCTGCGTGACTTCATGAGAAGCCCCGATTTGGTCATAAGAGCAACATAATTTTTGAATGTTTAAATTTATGAGACAACCGTTCTTGGACGCGAAATGCTAATTGCTTTATTTATGCTCTCTCGGAACGGAGAGCGAATTAACCTGGATTCCTGATAAAGTTTATACGGAAGGAAGGCTATATCAATAAGATGCTGTTTGGCTGGTCGATGTCAACTGTGCATGCAGTTTCGTGTTCGGGTGACGATGGAAAGGTGAGAGTGAAAAAGTTGGCACGAGGATCAATAAAGTCGAATTTCGATAAACAATACGTGACTGTTTGCGATTGAGAGTGATGAATGTCTATAGATTTCAGGGGACGTGACATTCACAGCCCGTGATTACTATTTTCGTTTAAAAGTTATAATAATCTTCATTATATGGCAATGATATGTGCATCAATAGAAAGTAGACATGATTGACTTTGTGTTCCAATCAATAGCTATGAATTTAGTTACTAATAAGCCTATTTTAATAGACATTTTCTGTTTTGAAATTACTGTGATATTTTCAATCTAAAGTAAGCTATGTCTAAAGTATATCTTATTACCTTAAAATATCAACTATGAAAATAAGAAATGTAGTTGAAATTGTCGTGGTGAAGAACTTCATAGAATGGGTCTATATTTCGCTATTTGATACCTAACTTGTGTTTTCGCCTACGAAAATAATTGCCTTGTTTTCGAAAACACATTTGACGACTGTAATGCTAGCTTTAAAGTGCCATGATTTTTTTGATTGAATTGTCTGTGACGAGATGATATCATGAGCAAACATGTGAACGTACAAAGTGTACGCGAAATAATTTAGTCCATTTCTAGTCTACAAGTGTAACACAAGACGATAAGCAAATTGAATTAGTTGAACATGAAAATTGTCGACATTTGCTCAGTGAAGACATATCGTATGCGTACTTACACATACCACACCGGTAGGTAAGGCTATGTGATAATAAATAATTTGCCAGCCTCTGAAGCGTAAAACTTGTAGTTAATGCGGCAACAATAACAAACTGGTACAATCTACGCGGAGGTGCGATTTTCTCACATCGATGAGCATGCAACCTTGAAAACCGGCGATCCGCGTTGCATTTGAAGGGTACCGATGGATATAATTTCGGCAGTAAAAGAAGTCACTCATCGGCTGTAGAAGCGCTCTCATATCGGATTGAGTTGATTGAACTCAATACATAAGAAGTTAAGAATTTCAACACTACCGTTCACTAAAAGTATGTTTTGTTTGTGTGCTCCATAGGTGATGGTCCTTGAGCTGCTGATCCGTTGAAAGATACAGCAAAAAGCTAAACGGCCTGATGTGATACGATGCCGACGCGACTTGACCAGCAACCTATTCAATAGTGCATCTGTTAAGAGGGTTCTACGTGCGAGAAACAGCGTGCCGTGATTCATTGAAGACGAATAGCTTGTTAAATTGTGAAGCTTTAGTACTTGTCCATTAATTACCATATAGGAGATGATGATGACCTGCAACAATCGGCATCGCAGCGTGCGATGGAACCTGCTACAAACTATAGTCGGTTTGGCCTTGTTGACAGCGACCGCGGTCCACGGTCAATTGGTCAGCTCAGGTGAGTTTACCTCATAGCCGAAGGATGTTGGCGTTAGATGATGTGAATGGCTCATTCATACGAATGATTGTTAGTATTTCTACAAGTTCATTATCAGGCGGGCACGTTGTGGTTGGATATAAGCAGATAACATTCTTGCAGTTGTGCAGTTACGTGCAAGTCACTTGTGTTCTCAGACTTATAATAATCCATTCCCCCATGGTTGACGCTATAAGTTATCAGCTACATGTTTCAAATTTTCATTTCGGGAATTGCATAGCTTTCCTTATTCGGTATCAGGTTCGGTATATTGAAGAAGTTTTAACCAATTTTGCATCCACATTTCTTTTATGCAACAAATATTTATGATACAATAAATATTTTAACATTTTAAGAAAAATATCGATTTTAGAACTGAAACAGATAAAAAAAATGAATTTATCTGCCCATTCTTACTTAATTAAATTCCCACTAAATTGATCAATTTCGCAGTCAGGGAAAAGAAAAAGATAATTTATGAATGATACATATGTGAGCCTGTGTCTGAATGTTCATGCATTACGTTTTGGCCCAAGGCAAACTTTAACCAGGAAGCAGTCAGAACATGCCCGGGTGTAATCGATGTGACTTTCGCCGCTTTAAATGGCTGCAATTGATCACAAACTTGAATTCTGATGTGATTTTATGTGACTTTAGATTCTGGCAACATTCCCTGAGGTAGCTCCGAGCATTTGTGACCAATGTGGTAACATTACTCAATGGTTACTCATTATTCTCCATATATCAAATCGCAAGACTTAAAGTAATAAACATTTATGGTGATTATATTTAGTAGCAGGAACCACATAAACCATGAACCACATCCTGAGGAGCTCCAGAGACATGGTCTATGTGGTTCCTGCTACTAAATATAATCACCATAAATGTTTATTACTTTAAGTCTCAAGCGATTTTATGTGTCGTATGAAGGGTTTCGGTCGTGTCAGGTTTTGGCATCCCCGAAGGCACGGTTGTGACCTAGATGGGACTGGGAACACAATACTACACACTAAGATTATTTTACCGAAATCTGTGAAATTTTACCGAAATCTCAACAGCTGAACGTTCGGTAAACAGTTCGGTGATTTTTCACAGATTTCCGGTAATTTTTCAACGAATATCTGTTAAAAATCACAGAAAATCTGTAAAAAATCACCGAACTATTTACCGAACGTTCAGCTGTTGAGATTTCGGTAAAATTTCATAGATTTCGGTAAAATAATCTTAGTGTGTATCGACCGATGGAAACTAACGATTTAAAATTGGCTCACTACTTGACTAGCCTATTGTTCCCAAGCAAATCGATTAACGCACCCCATTCTAGTCGACATTCTAGTACTACACTATATTTGTTTTGATTCGCTATGAAAGTTTGACAGATAAAATGAGGGGTTCGTGGATTTTCCTATGTTTCGAGGGGTGTATCGATTAGCTTCGGACCAAACATAGTACCAGAGCTGAGCCAAAAAGTTGAGCATGTTTTTTCGGGACCTTCTAGTCTTTGAGTTACCTCTATGATACTATCGCCAATGATTTCATATTTCAGACCTCGTTATTTAATGCTCCGGTGTACGCGGAACTTTGTCGGTTGTGACCAATGTGATCCTGAGCACTTGACATCATAACTAATGAACTTGTTTTTGAACTCTCATGTTATTTGATGTGTCGCATGATGGGTTTTGGTCCAAGTCAAAAACTGGCCACGTCTTTGGGGGAACCCATAGCATATCAGGATGTGACCAATGTGATACTGGGCACTCGATATGTCTATCATTGGACTTGTTTTTGAATTCTCGTAGTGAATACCAGGCGCACCCAGAAAGGCGAGATGCTGTTCGAGCTGAAGAAGGACAATGGTTGAGTGCAGGGATGTGAACTAGATCACAACCAGGGATGCACTCGCACAGCTAATAAAAAAAAGGTTGTGCTGTGTCGAGGTGCCTAATACATAGGTGACACAGTAGGAAGAGGTGTAAGTTTGTTTACTTAAATGACCATTGTTATGGCAAGTTTTGCTATAAGAAATGCTCGCCTAGTAGCACGCTTGTCACAAATCAATGGTAGAAACTTATATACGTCTTATTTCAGTCTTAAACAAGTTGCTGTAACTTATTGTGATGAAAGTGTGCTACTCGGGTCCTCGTGTTTATTAGCGAAATTCACATCAAAGATTGACTAATTGCGTAGGAAATCAGTTTGACACGGTTTTGTGACCAGCATACACCTTCCGGTCGTATGAAACAGGTCAAAAACTGTCCAGATCCACCCATAAAAAATTTTGTTTTGAATTTCTGTATGGCAAAATAGTGAACTTTTCGTGAACATTAACGGCAAAGAACTCACCAAGACTGGGAGACCGTGAGTTCCTGCCCACGTGTCATAAAAACATCTCGGTGCTGTGTGTATGTTTTAAAGTCTCCGGCACTCAATTTTCTCGAAAGCAAGCGAAAAGAGCGTGGGTATGTGGGTATGAGCGCACATGTATGTATGAGCGCGTGGGTAATTGTGGGTATGAGCGCACATAAACAGCACAAACAGAGATCAAAATTAGCACGAGAAAAGCTTTTTCCATTATAAACAGTTCCAAACCCGCATAAACGCGAACCATAACATGACCTTACCGAAAATGGTTAAAAATTGTTTATAATCCCTGCTAAACTTGTGTGATAATTTTTTAACCTTATGTATGTTTGGTTCACTTCCCTTACAAATAATGGGTTGTTAAGAACCATTACCATTCAAAATAGTTGTTTTCTCCATACATTTTCGGAGAGAGGACTATATTAGAACCTTTTTACTTATTGTTTGAGAACTTTATTTGTAATGGTTATGGTAGCCAGTAAGGCATTAATGGTTTTGTATTATCGGTCAACTTTACGTGGAATATATCGTGAATTGATAATCAGTAATTTACAGGCAACCAGTATATTCCACATAAAGTTTATGGATGTTACAAAACCATCTATAAACGTTACCGACTACCATAATTTTCTCAAATCATAAATAAAATGGTTCCAATATAATTCCTTTCCCAAAAATGCATGGAGAAAACAAGAATTTGGAATGGTAAAAGTTCTTAACAACCAATTATTTGTAAGGTTCACTTCCAAAAAACCTTAGTACACAAGGTTAAAACTTTATCACACAAACGTTCATATAAAGTTTCATGACCATTTCAGTTAAAGTTTAGCAGGGATTATAAACAATTTTCAACCATTTTTGGTTAGGTCAATTAATGGTTCGCATTTATGCGGGAAACCAAGCACATTTTTCAGTAGCACAATTTTTTTTATTTAAATCTACTGGTGATAGAATAAGGCATAGTGAAAAATTGCAAGGAAGGAGATGGGCCTGGGATTGAACTCCCGACCTACTGCGCAGTGATGTGATGTGATGTGATGTGAATGGAACCTACCATCAGTGCAAGGATTACCAATGTCTGCAGATACTTTACCGGTTGTAAAGTACGAGTTAACCAACATCATCACCGCGTAAATAAACTATAATGAAAATTATCACTTGCGATGCCACAAATTTCTGGTTCGGGAGAAAAACTCAAACAACGCAGATAGCGTCAAATCTTCTGTTGCTTGCAAACATGATGAATCATATTTTTCTTCTCGATTCTAAAAACTTCTCGGAAAACGAGAAAACCACCAATCACACACGTATAACCGTCCGGGAGGCAGAGTGCCAGCGCTAATCCGGCAAATGTAGCGGAAAACTATGAATGCGAACGCACGCACAAAACAGAGAACACACTTAAAACACAATCGTATCCAAAAGCGTTCGAAACTGAACTCCCGACCTACTGCGCAGTAAGCAGAAACGGTAACGCTAAGCTACCGAGCCTTGCTTGCAAATACCCCATTCAAGAAGTGGTTGCAAGCTCATACGAAGGTTTTGTGATAACACAAGTTAATGGAATCTTCAAATGCAGATGCTCAATGGAGCAGTACCACCAGATGCTCGATAGACTTACTGAAAAACTCATTCGACGGAGATCGCTTTTCATCGGAGCAGATTTCAATACTTGGGCAGTGGAGTGGAGCAGCAAATGTAGAAGGTATAGTCAACTGGAAGCTCTTGGATAACTGCAAGTTAGGCTGTACTTTTCGCAGAGACGGCTGGGAATCCATTATCGACATCACTTTCTGCAGTCCGTCGCTGGTGGCAAACATGAACTGGAGAGTGTGTGAGAGGTACACCCATAGCGAACATCAGGCGATCCAGTATAGCATCGGCCAATGGAATCCTGTGGCAAAACGGAGAACGAAAACTAGTGAGCGGAAGTGGGAGACGAAGGCTTTCGGTAAGAATCTCTTTGTGGAAGAACTTCGTGTAGACAGCGGTTCTTCGGACCTGAACATCTAGCGAGGGCATCTTAAGCGAACCCCACACGTGGCACGAAGAGGAATTATTGACAATAATATTGAAGATGTGAATGCAGAAATAGTGTCAATATCGATGTATTGACATCAATATAAAATGTATTGACAATACGATTATTGTCAATAAAAACAATCGTGTGGGGTCCACTTAACACAACTATGCCGAGGATACTAGAGCCAAAGAATAGACGGCACCCAGCTTACTAGTGGAACGAGGAACTCAGTGCCATCCTTGCCAGTTGTCTCAGAGCCAGAAGACGCGCTCAGAGAGACATAACAGAAGCAGACAGAGAGTAGTGTAAGGAAGTGTATAGAGCGATTTGAGGAGCTGTGCCGAGACGCTGATGGCAACCCCTGAGGCGACGCATACCAAGTTGTGATGGCGAAAATCAGAGGTCTAACGACACCTGCTTAAATGTGAACAGACAAGCAGAAAGTCATCATTGAGTGACATTCCCCAGAGCCACCTACACCTGGCCACCTATATCGTACGGCGAGGCAGAGGAAAACAACGGTGAAGGTGTACAAGTCTCCAAGGCACTCGTAGCAGTGGCGAAAGGGTTGAAGGTGAAGAAAGCACCCGGCCCGGAT